GACACTTGACATGAATTACAACAAACACAACAAACAAACATACTACTCTTTTGATTTCATTAGCGTATTTATTGATACTAAAAAATCACAAGAGACTGGATATACAGTGAACTTTTTGTACGCTGCCATTCCCCAAACGCCTCACTTTTTCAACAATTCATATATCCAAATTATCTCTATTCGCTTTTGCACAAGAAATGCGATCTGTAACAATGTGTGCATGGTTCACAAAAGCTTATGCATTCCTGTACCGTTTCAGTGGAGTTTTTAAGGGCTTCGGCCATTTACTCCAAATATGCTGACTGATATACTGACTGATACTAACATCGTCAATACCAATAACTTAATAGCACGCGAGCTATTTTGACAAAATATCAACCGCGCACGCAACACATCAGCCTGGTCAGTCACTTGGGAATGTAGCACATTGAGAGTATTGAATCAACGCCAAACGCATCAACATACCATAGGTACATCATATTCCCCAAATTCTCCCACTATCGACGAACATTGAGTCACATAATACACTCTCTCGGTGATAGGCACTTTCACGAAGCGTTATGAAAAAATCATCGCAGTTCAATGCCTATGAACATAAATCGCCACACCTAGCTCAATCCGCCTCAATTCATCCTACACACGGACATATCCTGGACCTTTCACGTAAGATTGGAAGCAGAAATTTAAATGCAATCGCATGCCTGCTCACGTCACGTGAAGCACATATAGATGATAAGTTAGTTTGTCAGTCATTGCTTTTGGACCCACCTCTGGTTGTCATTAAACTGTTTCGCCACCGGATCTAGCATGAACGAGGGAGAAATCAGTACAACGGTTGGTGTGCAAGTCTGCTATTACCGTAAATTAGTTCACGCGAAAGTCATCGTCCTGTGCCTAACAAGCTGTGGGTAACGCAGTGGGTATCTTTGTTTGCGACGACTGAGTAGATATATTTTTATTCAAGAAACATAATTGTAAGGCATATTATGGTCAAACAGGGACGTACAAGCTAGTGTTATTTATGCGAGGTCTTTGAGATCTCCTTTAACCAGCGCCGAGTAGTCTCGTATCAACTTGCAGATGATCCCCCCAGCGTAGATCGCGGAGGATTAAGAGTAGTTTCGAAGATTTTATTGCGCGTAGTTTTCAGTCACTGCTTACCACCAGAGCCAAGAGAATATCTTTTGTAGAACCTCACCTTCATTTTAAATACTCAAGATGAAAACAACGTCCCTGTCTTAATTATGGTTCTAGTAAGTCATGGGGGAAGAGCGATTTTTGCAGTCACCCATTTGACTTCATTACAGAATGCTACCTACTTATTTTTATTATGTAGTCTGTTATATTGCCGCGATGGCGGAGTTTAAACCCAGTGATATTTTTCTATAGAAACACTGCCGTCTATACTTTAATCAAGTGTCTGGCGGTTAGTTCAATACAGAAAGGCCTAAGCACTTTAACTAAACCAGTAATATCTCGTTGCATTATGAAGGTACCTTTCGGCTACAGCTAACTGTATTAGACAAATAGCTTAATAAGCAAATGAGCAACCCCAGATTCGAAACCGCGGCCTTTTGAATAGAAGTCCAACATTTAACCATTGAAAGAGCTAGGACCTCTAGAGGTCGTAATCCAGCATGTGCCTGTTAGTAGGAGAGAAACAGGCTCTGACAATCTTCAAAAATTAAAGAGGCCTTGTTGCTTCGTTGAACTCTGCTCAACTATAGCCATATTGCCAATAGAAGTGAGTATATGAGTTACAGGAAGCAGTTCAGTAGAAGAAGAAGATGCGACCACTGGAACAAGACTTCTTTTTCCCGACGTTTCGGATTTCGTCGGAAATAGTCTGAGTCGTGCGCAGATAGGGGTGAAAAATGCATGGATTGCACGGTATTTATAGTTCATAGCGCTCATCCGCGTGCGTACTGTAATTATCCGCTCCAATAGCCACCACTTGGGTCTTAATTGGTGCGCAACTGGGTTCACACCTCGCGTTCGACGCATTAATTACCGTGATTTCCTTGTCCGTGTTTGATGCGGGCTTGGTAATTGCCCGATAATCATGCTCGCTGTCGTCAGAGTTGTTGCTGGGCCTGACCCTTCTCACGTGACTGATTCTCTTACTCAGGAAATGTCTCAGTATATAGTGGGGAAAAGCCAAATCGTTGCGCTTGTCGATAGACAGGGGACCTGAGAACCATGACTTGAGCAGCTCGCGGCTCACACGGTTGTCACCTCTTGCGAGGATTGCGGCCTCGTCAAACTTGAAAATATGGCCGGGTCCCATCTATTGAGCTGAAACCTAGGAGTTGACGTCTTTCTTCATCACCGCCGCTGCATTTTCGGCCATTCATGTCCAAAGTAATCGCCCGGTTTCTCTGACGTAGTCGCATAGTCCACAACTGCACCAGATCCGGTAAATGACTTCAGCCGTTTTCTGCCGTGGCAGTGGGT